CAACACGAGGACTATGTATATAAAACATGGAATGCTAATGTTAAAGATATACATATCATATTCTTGCACGTGTCTCGATGTACAGATCTAAGCTTGTGACAAATGTGTCATCTTACATGTGTAGATGAAATCATCAATACTGAAATTTAATACCCGATAAATGAGGCGGCTCCTCGTACTCAAAATGATAAACAATACACTCGAATATATATACACTATATATATATATATATATATATATATACACAACAGGTGGTTAAACAAAAAAAAAAAGAAAATAAATCACTCGTCAGTCGACTCAAGGTCGACTAGGGTCATCAGTCGACTCATGGTCGACTGGGATCACCAGTCGACTCATGGTCGACCGAAAGAAAAAAAAACTAGAACCCGACAGTCGACTCACGGTCGACTGGGGTCATCAGTCGACTCACAATCGACTGAACAGAGGGGTTTTCCCTGTTCGTGCATGCTGTGTTATTTTTGTGAAAATTCATCTAAAAATCAAATTCATCAAACCTAAATAATATATTATCAATTCTAAACATACGAGACAGTGAAAAATTTCGTATAAAACATGGAAAACAGAATCTTGCATGTTAGATCTAACATTTAATCCCTAAATATGTATGAGAACAATTAATCAAAATAGAAACTCGTTTTTTAAATAAATTCTTAGATCTGGGTTTCATCAAAGATTCGTTGGTGAGGATTTAGAGATCTGAAACACATGATTTTTAGCATCTACACTAATAAGAACATCGATTTATACTTGAAAATAATTCTTAGGCTTAATAAACCTCATGAAAAACATTTAGAAACTCTTAAAAACAAGGGAGAGGGATTGGGCGAGATGCTACTCGCCTCTGGTGTGTTGAACAACGCCTGGATCCGCGAGAGAACGACTCCCTTCGCTGCAAACCACAACAAGCTGCTGAAAATCCCCGAAAATCTCCCAAAAATGCCCAAAATCCGAAGCTAGGGTTTTAGAGGGGAAAGGAGGCTAGGGTTTCTGGGGAGGACTGTGTAGGCGTATAAAACTGCTTATAGGTCCCTTGACACATCGACTGAACAGAGGGGTTTTCCCTGTTCGTGCATGCTGTGTTATTTTTGTGAAAATTCATCTAAAAATCAAATTCATCAAACCTAAATAATATATTATCAATTCTAAACATACGAGACAGTGAAAAATTTCGTATAAAACATGGAAAACAGAATCTTGCATGTTAGATCTAACATTTAATCCCTAAATATGTATGAGAACAATTAATCAAAATAGAAACTCGTTTTTTAAATAAATTCTTAGATCTGGGTTTCATCAAAGATTCGTTGGTGAGGATTTAGAGATCTGAAACACATGATTTTTAGCATCTACACTAATAAGAACATCGATTTATACTTGAAAATAATTCTTAGGCTTAATAAACCTCATGAAAAACATTTAGAAACTCTTAAAAACAAGGGAGAGGGATTGGGCGAGATGCTACTCGCCTCTGGTGTGTTGAACAACGCCTGGATCCGCGAGAGAACGACTCCCTTCGCTGCAAACCACAACAAGCTGCTGAAAATCCCCGAAAATCTCCCAAAAATGCCCAAAATCCGAAGCTAGGGTTTTAGAGGGGAAAGGAGGCTAGGGTTTCTGGGGAGGACTGTGTAGGCGTATAAAACTGCTTATAGGTCCCTTGACACAGCTCGGCGCGATGATTCGACAAATCGACGAACGTTCAAGCAACGAAACGAACTAAAGAGGCTACAAAGCTAACGAACTGCATGTGAACAACGTTAGTGGTTCGGGGAGTCGACGGGTCTTCCAACAAAGTGGATTTGAACTCAAACACCGACTGAGTTTACTGCCAAATCCGGAATCAAGTCAACAAATCAACAAAACAACCGAACAACGGACAAAACAACCGGAAACAACGGAAAACGACAAAACCAGCGCACCTGGGGGAACTCGGCCCGAACCGAACCACCCTAAGGTGGCTCGGCCCAAGCCGAGCCACCCTAGGGTGGCTCGGTGGCCGAGCCACCCCAGGGTGGCTCGGCCAAAGTCTTTTGGCTGTTTTGAGAGAGATATTGGTGTGAGAGGTTTGAGAGATTGTGTGAGGCTTTAGATTGAGTGATTGTAAACCCTAGTTGTATTCTCTCCCCTCTAATTGTAGATCCCCCTCCTTACCCCGTGGACGTAGGCAGTTTGCCGAATCACGTAAAACTTATATGATTTGCTGTTTGTGGCCATTGTAATAGTTTATTAGGTCCCTCGACAAGTCAGTCCTAGAACTGATGAGAAGAAGAGCTGATATCCCATTTTGTTGAGATATTCGCTTCAGATTCTTGTTTCCTTGGTGAGACATGAATTCTTATTGATCTTTCTCTCTTATTGTGTATCAGAAACTCTGTCGAAATTTCCGCTGCGCACAATAGTTTCTGTACGCCAGAAATTTATGTATGGATTTGTGTTGGTATTTTCACCAATTACGACGACAGATTGCTACTTGTTGAAATTCCTCCTGTGTAATTATCTCTTTATGTCGTGATGATTGCTATTAATAACTGAGGCATCATTAAAAGCTGTCATGGCTTCGTCTTCTGTTGACTAGTATCACATGTGTTAGCGCTTGCTTTTCTCATTGTATCATACTTTAAAATTTATTTTTATTTCTGCTCATGTTCTTTAGTTTGTTTAAAATCACAGATAGCAGATGTCTGGTCTTGTGGAGTTACTCTATATATGATGTTAGTGGGCGCATATCCATTTGGAGGATCCTGAAGAGCCCAAGAATTTTCGGAAAACAATTCAGGTTACTTTTTACCATTTCATGAGATGAGCCACCATTATATTCATTATACTAATAATCTTTTTTTGTGCAGCGTATATTGAATGTTCAATATTTAATTCCAGATTATGTTCACATATCTGAGGAGTGCCGACACCTAATCTCTAGAATTTTTGTTGCTAATCCTGCTACGGTATGTACTTTGTGTTATAGACAATCCTTGTTGTGGAGTTACCTCTGTTTTGGAGAATAAATGTGAAAAAAAAATCCTATAGAGGGCCTTCTATAGTATATGGAATTAGGAGTAAGGAGAGGATGCCACTTGATATATCAACAGTCATTTGTCTATCAGCGCAGACAATAGTGACTGAACTGATGGACATTCTTGATACATTCATCAAGATTCATGGCATGGTAGACGTCCCTCTCTCCTTCCTCCATAGACAATAATCTATAGAGTGGGCCTATATAGAATAGTTGCCATTGATTTGGTTGCTTTACCCAGTTACATCCCTAATATTTTGATTATCACGGGTTAATCTGTTAGGGTCGTCCAATTGTCTGGAGATTCTGATTCTACCTATTTCACTTTCACTTAATACAGTACCGATTCTATCTGAACACCCCCATACAATGGGGTAATCTGTACCATTCACGGGTGGTTAGAGGTTGGAGGGTTAGTTTGAGAACTTTTGCTATTCTGTTTGCAGTGCAAGCCACTTCACTCCTACAGTGATGGTTCTAATAGGATTCTTATTCCCTTTAATATTGCTTCACATTTTTTTTACTCTTTTCAGAGGATATCAATGTCGGAGATACGCACCCACTCCTGGTTCTTGAAGAATCTTCCCGCAAACCTAATGGATGACAACATGATGAGCAACCAGTATGAGGAGCCCGATCAGCCTATGCAGAGTGTCGACGAGATAATGCAGATAATTGCAGAAGCTACTATCCCTGCAGCTGGAACTCGCGGCATCGGCCAATTTATCACCGATAGCCTCGATATGGACGATGACATGGAGGACCTCGACTCTGATCCTGATCTTGATGTTGATAGTAGTGGCGAGATAGTCTATGCTATGTGATCGTTGTTGTTTTAGGATAGGGGAGTATCAAGAGGGTTTGATATATGTATGAACTTTGTGAGCAAAATGTGGAAAGGAGAAAGGTGTTCACTGCTAATTGTGCGTGCTTGTATTTTATAAGAACATATGAAGCTTGTTACTGCTGCAGCCTGCCCTATATATGCAATGTTTTTACCTCCTTTGTCGTATATGCAGCTGTTATGGCCACGTGTTTTTACTCTATGTTCCTTGCTGCGTTGTTGATTGTATTGTTCTTATTTAAAATGCTTAAAGATGAGGGTGGCTTGGATCGTTGCATGAACGGTGGAGCTCCAAGTGCATTAAGAAAAGAGCATCCGGGTCAATAGCTTCAAGTGGCCTCTCTACTATATCAGAGTGTAAGTACATAAGACAAAATAATCAGCTCATCCTTTCGGGTGTAGGCGAACTCTCAAACTTGGATGACATGCGATTAGCTGTTAAAATTTGGAATGAATTGTAGCTGTCTTGTCCTGCTATCAAAAGTTGAGGTCTACGGCGGGGGTGAGCAAACGGCCGGGTTGGTCGTTTTTTCCCGGAATTTTACCACAACCAAAACCGAACCACTCCATATTTGAAACCGAACGGGACCGAACCGACAGGAAATTTCATTGGTCAATTTGGTTCGGTCTATTGTGTTGGGACTTGAACTAATTTATTAAGAAAATAGCCTATTTAATGCGAAAGAAAGATGCTTGTCAAGAAATCAGTGAAAGAAATATGTTGGTTAAGGCCTAAGGGATCGACAAAAGAACAAGACAAATTAGTTGAAAGAATAATCTAACTTGAGAGAGAGAGAGAGAGAGAGAGAGAGAGAGAAATTTGACCATTGAAGAGAAAGAATGAGCTTATTTTAGGCAAATTGAGAGAACGGGCCGTTCCAGTTTTGTTTGTATTGAAGTTTCTCAAACGGATCAAAACATATCCTAAAACCGAACCAAACCGGAAAAAACCAACTTAAACCCCTGCTGTCCAGTGCCAATCATATGATTGATGCATATTATTATTGTAGTTATTCGAGTAACATGGACCTTTGGATATCAACCAACGGCTGAGATTTCAGCTAGGGATCGCTTATTTTATGAAAATTGCCCCCCCCCCCCAAACCCCCCAACCTGCTCTCTTGACTGTTTTCTTGACCGTGTGGTGTCGCCTCTTCTGCCGCCTCAACGCTCGAAGATATTTATAACTCCTCGAGATATTATTTTCCCCCCTTTCTACTCAAATTAGCTCTCCTTTGAAGAGAGGAAAAAAAAATGAGGGAAATTGTGACGATTCAAGTGGGAGACTTCGCCAATTACATCGGCTCCCACTTCTGGAACTTTCAGGTGAACCTCGTTCTCACTCGCCCTTCGATTTTTTAATCAGTTTCGGTATCGAGGTTTTCTTTTGAAAACCAGGAAAGCTGCGACCTTTTCCTGAACTGAACTTTTTTTCTCCTCCTCTTGAAAGTTATGCTTGTATCCGTACGAACTAACAACAGTCAGCCGTGGTTGCTTATTATTAATTATGTGCATTCAGACTAATACTGGTTGTTGATATCCAAAATGACTGACCTTACACACTAAGTGAGAGAAAGGTTGAAAGAATTGTAAAATGTAAGTTTGAAACCAATTTGTTGCTTTTGTGGATGGATGTGAAGCGTAATTTTAATCATTTAAATTATATTGGTCATCCGTCGTTGTGCCCATAAGCAAGTGTTATTATTTAGACCCTGTTCTGAGATGTCATCTGGCCTAAACACAAACGATGAGTTTCATTGCAAAACTAGATGTTTAGAAGATTGTATGTCCGTGCGTCGCGTTCGGTGTAGAATTTCCCGAAACCCTTCTTCTAGCATTTTTCTAACCATTTATCGATCTGATACTTGTACAGATGCCACTTGGCCTGCAAGAAAGAACTATATGAAAATCAAGTACTGCTCATGTATGGATCTCAATGCTAATGCATACAACGTTCACCATCCATATTCCAAAACCCTCGAGTAGAGTAGGGTACTGAATAGATCTGTACAAGCACGACTTGAGATTATTTTGTATCATTTATATCTCCTTTCCCTATTATGCCAGCCATAAAGTTCGCTGCAAAATCCTACGTGTTTCGTTTTGTTCTCTGTTATGTGGATGATCCCTACATATTAGCTAGGTTGCAAGATCTTTAGAACATTATCTAGTTCGAGTACGACTTACTTAATTGTCAGATTGGTTATTCAGTTTCAGACTATATCCAGATCAAAACGAGTGCAATGTTTAGGGTTATTTGAAGTTCAAATCTTTTTGACTGTACAAATGTTTGGATCTGGGCATGGCACAAGTTACAGTCCTAAACAAGAGTGAAAGTCATCTATGCCTTATTTAGATATCAGTCCTTATTTAGGATTAGGTTTGACGTTATTCTGGGATCTAGAAAAAGATCCCAGGTCATGTAAAATAATGGAGGCGTTATTCTGTTAGATTAACGCTTCTTGTAGACATTTAAGCAACTGCTTATTGCATTGCAATAGTAAAGGTTGAAACATGAATCCCTTTAAAAAGTAGTCAACTATAAATGCACTTCAAATTCCTTTCAGCTATATTTAACGAGAAAGTGCATATGCTTATACCGTATATGTTTTATTTTGAATTTGTTAAATGTATCAATGCTTTTATTGCTTTAAAACTTTTCTTAAATGAAAACCCTAAACAACTATGTTATGGTTAATTTGAAGGATGAGTTGCTTGGATTGGCCGAAGACCCACATGGAGATTCTATTTTTAGGAGTTCATCATTGAATATGGATGTCCTTTATCGTACTGGTGAGACACATCAGGTAGACTCGCTTATTGACTGTTTGCATCGTGGTTTGATTTATAACATAAATATTACATATGGATATTCTATAAATTTGGAATAATGACTTTGAACTTGCTATCGCTGCTGTTTTATGAAAAATCACCACTGTTTTATGAAAGAAATCCTTTACTCTTATGAACCGCTGAGTTCAGTTATAAACCTTTGCGCAATGGTAGGTTGGTTAATGGAAAGACATATCAAATGCTATGTTTGTTCATTTTCAGTTTATGATAAAATTAGAAATTGGATTTCCTCAAAAGAATTCTTGCATACTATGACTTATGAGCAGGTATTACCTTTTAGGGGAAGGATGAACATGGTTATGACACAACAGGACACACCAAAGCGCAACCTAGGTCAGGCCCAGCATTTTATTTTTCGGTGGCGGGGCCCCTAAAATTAAAGAGAAAAAGATGGAAGACGAAAGTATAAAACATGTAAAATTTTATCGTAATTGTGATTTTGCTCTCTTCTACAATTAAAATCATCATAATTGAGTTGAGTCAATAGTAAGTTCTTTGTAATTTTTTTGTTTGCATGTTGGCTCTTTCATGCTCTCAATTAAAGCCGAAAGTTTAAGCAAACAATCTCATGTTTGGAAGTCAAGAATACTCTACTCTGCAAAAAAGAATTTCATTTTCCACATCGGGAAAAAAATTTATTTGATAGGTACTATGTGCAAGATGTCATATGTGTGTGTGTTGAATTTCATTTTCCACATCGGGGAAAAAAATATATTTGATAGGTACTATGTGCAAGATGTCATATGTGTGTGTGTGTGTGTTTATACCCTCAAGTTTAATTAGGGGCCAACCAGATGGAGTTAAAAGGATTAATTTGTAAGGACAGAATGATGAAGGGGACACCCATCCATCCACCGCCCCTATAATATAAGCTTTAGTTTTTCGCCCTATAAAATGACTTATAACAGGCTTATATGAGACAGTAGTGCCTTGTTTGCTGAGTGTCCAACATGTGACGGCATGGCAAAATGTCATGATATACTTTTATGCTATATAGAGCATTATGTAGGCTTATCTACCTATCATATGGCAAAAAAATTCGATAGCAGTTGTTGTTCTTGCCTGAACTTCTTCTTACCAGATATTAACACAAGTTCCCAATGCCTCGACAAACTCACTTGTGGTATGAATCAGCTCTATTCCCCAACTTAGCATCAAGGGCCTATGTACATCCCCATGCTGTATTCAAACTTGTGAACAATCAAGTAGATTATACTACTTTGGTCTGTAAAGCACAATTATCTATTGTTTTATACAACCACCCCTCCCTCAAACACATTTGCACACATGCCGCCTACACAAAAAAGGAGAAGGAAAAGACCAAGTCTCCTCAAACTTCTAAACTTTGAGGGATACATTCTGACTGTTCTAAATAGACTTTCATGTCTGCTTAGACCTTCCTATTTCATGCATGCAGTTGCAGTTCCCACTAGCTTCTTTTATGAAATTTCACTCATTTGATAGGCAGCGGATCCTGATTTGTGCTCACCAATTTTGATATTTTATCTCATGATAAGGCCCCCTTTATTCAATTATTATCTGAAGGATGACCTAAATTCCTCTTTCAAAATAGGATTTGTGGGACCAATTATTGGAGATGGTCAGAGATTCTTTATCCGACAAGAAAAAGTCTTGTTCCTACATTTTACTCCATTAAAATGTTGAGGAATAAATTGAAGGGATCAAAATGAAGGGAGAGGTATGATTTATTCTCTTCCTTTTCGCTTGCACACCCTTTCTAATTTCTAACAGTGATACTATTGCCATATCATCAAAGCCTTTATCCTCTCTTAATTAATCCACACCTCTTAATGCAATCACATCGCTCTCTTATTCAAGCCACTCCGGATCCAAGCTATCTTCCAAACCAGATCATGTTCCTTAATTCACTGCCACGAATCACAACCAGAGCATGTCACCACCTTAGCCACTTTTATCATAATCAGTCACTGCCATAATCACAGTCATAAATCATTACTTTAGCTATCTTCCACCACCAATCGGCCAATCATAGCCGAGCTGCCATGCCAACAAACGCGTTAGGCAACTTTGCATGTTAGCCTTCAACTCTGACTTAAAGTTGTATTGTCTCTGTACTATGTGAGGCTATCCTATTACTTTGCCCTTGTTTCCTCAACAATGAGTTTCAGTCAATTTCCTTATCTTCTTATATCGTTAATTCGATTCCTAGAACTTTGTAAAAGAAGTTAGTTGTTTTACTGCAAAAATAAAATGAAAGAAGAGTATTTCAGTTTGTTGAGTTAGTATTTTGCTATGTTCAGGTTGTTTGGATCCCAAGATAGTAGAATCTTATTGATGTGATTGGATCTAAGGAAAAGTCTGAAGTAGTATATTCAATTATTGATTGTTAATTGTTTGTGGAGGATATGTTTAGTGTGTAGAGCAATGACAGCAGATAGTAAATCTGTGGTTTCTAATATTGTTTTGAGCAAATCATAGACTGAAAGTTAAAACAGAGAACTTTGTATAGTGGGAAAGAATTGTGAAGATGAATTTAACTGGGAGAGGCAAGGAGATTTGTTGACATGGAATCTTCATGAGTCATGGTGAATGAATGGAAGCATGATGATGCTCAAGTCTATAAGAGTAGGTTGTTAATTCCGTGAAGCCTGACGTAATGAATGCATTGATTCACTCCCGAAATATGGGAGACTTACGAGAGACTTTCCATGCTTTACATGGGGAGAGCAATATCTCTAGTGCTGATTATGTGTCTCAGGATATGTTACGAATTCAAAAGGGAAAGCCAAACCTGTCTTAGTATTATGGAGTTATTGCCAAGATGTATGAGGAATGGAATGTTATTTTTCTATCAAAGCAGATTGGAAGATGTAATTGCAGCAAGAATAGTTAACTGGGAGGTTGTGATCTGAGCATAAGATGTCACATTCGCAAGTGCTTGGAGTTGTAATGAGTTCCATCTTTGAGCAAAAGTTTTGAGAGGGTCACAGAATCAACATTGTTCTAACGGTTGGCTAGTAGAGTGATATATCTGTTAATATATTGTTTTCAAGGATCTTTAGCAGTGATATGGAGAAGTAAATTGTCTGTTCCATTATGGTACCGTACCAGGCAATATTTTGGATAATGACAATCAGTGTATCTGTCTGATAAATGATTGAACAATATGGCTCATACTAGTCTTTAAACTTAATTGATCACCATTTTAGGCTACCGATGTTTATGATTTATAAGTCAGCACAAAAATACGTTTCAGTAAATATTACTCCCATGAATTTACGAATGATGTTATCTGGCATCCAATGTCAACATATTTCATTTTTGTTTTTGTTAGATATCAATTATAGGTTAGAGAAACTATTGAAGTTAAATCTCAAGATGACAAATCCTCTTCTCTGTTTCTTTCCTCAGTTGATAATTTTCGTTGTTTAAACTTCCCTTGTTTGAAGTTGTTTATTTAATTGAACTTTTCCATCGATCATCTAGCTGCAAATAGTGCATCGATTTTTCATATATGTACTGAAGTTCTATTATCTGCAGGGTATTCCTACATACAATCCTCGGTTGATATCAATTGGTCTTCAAGGTAAATTGCTTTTGTGGTAAATATTCACGCACAATGACTTTTTTGAAATGTCATTTGGATATTAGGAATTTCCATGAAATCACAAACTTATTTTATTAGGTTATGATTTTTGGTGGATTTGAATAATGAAGCATGACATGTAAAACAAATCTGATTTATGTATTCCGGGAATTTTCTTAACGTCGATCGTTGAAGAAATATTTAACCATTACCCTTCCCAGTAATTCTTTGTGATTGAATCTCCTTGTTGGATGATGTGTCGTCATATTCTTATTTAGAATTCTATTTCTCTAGATTTATTGACACGCTATATTATGTTTGCAGGATCTCTTGGATCTCTAAGTTCTACTGGTTCACTATATACCAGTGATCCTGATCCCTCAGATATCATTACATGGTAATACTTTTCTCTTATGGCTATGTACCATTTAACAGAGTGCAACGTGGTGTACATGTCCTGCGTTATTCTTATTCACTGTTATAAGTTGAAAGAGTCTGCCTTCTAGAAAAAAGTTTAGGTACTTTAATATCATAGCATATGCTCTGATGGTATGCACACTAGGGTGTGGTTGTCCAAGCTAATTTTAGAAGGAAAAAAGTACAAAGGAATATCATAGATGAGGTTCTCTACGGGTTGCACTCAGTCATTTGAATTCTGATTTTTTTTTTGTAAAGGGTGCAAGTGGAGATGGAAGACTAGGTTCTAACAGTCTAGATAAATGAAACAAATGACTAATTTTAAGTGGGGACTTGGTTAATTTGATTAAATTGCATTGGAAATCAGTTAGCTGGTGAAAAACAGTTGGAGATTCAAAACTAATCTTATCATGTATGTATAAGGAATATATTTGCAGCGCAAGGAGTCAACTTGATAACAATTCTTTGAAATTTGATTTTTTAAATCCTCATCTAACAACTCTAAGAGCTTGACCTTATCATTATCCACATGATTAATTGATCTAGTGGAGAGAAAAATAAATCAAAAAATCGTGGTCCATACAAATACGGTGAGGAAGAACTCATGTTTAAGATTGTTGATATAGACAAACGAGAGAACTCAAATATGAGGAAAAGGATATGCAACAAACTCATTTATCCTCGTCACAACAAACAAACGCCTCCTTAATATCTTATATAAACCCCCTAAAAGAGAAACCCTATGACCAAAAATCTTCTAGCAAAATATCAAAAATCTCAGCCTAGAAAACCACCCCCATGTTCTTGCATTCAACCTCAAAAATTCCTCATTGGATTTCGTATTTTACCTAGCAAGAAGGTGATATGTTGTCCCTGGATATAATTGTGTTCCTAGGACGTGCATCTAATTGAGAGATTTTAGCTTCATCCATTAGCATTCGTGGTTCATCATCTAATTGAGAGATTTTAGCTTCATCCATTAGCATTCGTGGTTCATCAGATAAATAAATCTCACCGCACCATCCTCACTCGAGACACCATCCTCATCCCGAGCCACTATGCTTAACTCTCGAGGCACCGTTCTCACTGGAGGCATCGTCCTCACCTTGAGCCACCATGCTCAATCCACGAGTCATCGTATTCAGTCGAGGCACCGTCCTCACCCCGAGCCATTGTGCTTAACCCTCGAGTCACTGTACTCATTCGAGGTATCATCCTCACTCCGAGCCACCATGCTCAACATCTGAGGCGCCGTCCTCATCCAAAGTCGTATGCTTTCTCACTGGTTTGTGATTACTTAAAAAAGATTTATTTGTATACGACGCGAATGAGAGTCATATATGAAGATGTGATTGAATTAAATGACTAATCCTAGCATTAGATATAATTCTCGAATAGAACGTATGATTGAATTGGAAACTCGGTGCAAGAAATAAATCTAAAAAGAATCTTGCAAAGAAGAACTATATATGCATGAATTATTCAGGCCATGACGAATAAACGTTCGCGATTCAATCGGTACAATCGGCTAATTTGAATTATTTAAATAATTGACAAATTAAAGGGTAGGATGTGACTCATGTGCACTTTCAAAATTGTGATTTATGTTCTTGGTCAATTCCTCTTTATAACCTTTAACAACCCGTCAACTTGACGCAAACTGGTTTCGATGCCAACGGGTCCAGTCTCGATGTATATATAGATTTCTATCAAGAAGGAGCTTTAATGGCATTAGGTAATTTGATTATCTATTCAAATTCTAATAAGATTTGGTTATCTTGCCATAAATAAGAGGGATCTTTTACAAATCCTATAGGGAATTAGACTTCAATGAGAGTAAACCATGCTTTGTTTAAAAAAATGCAAAGGATAATCAATTCAACCGGCACTCACACAAGGGATGTGCATTTACGAAAAAAACCCATTTACAAGTTTGAAACATTACATAGAACTCCTAACTTTGGAAAGGTTACCAAAATCCTCAAAATAAATAGAATTGTAGTTTACTCCCTAAAGAAACCAAAAAATACATTTTAGCAAAAAATCTGGAGGCTAACGCAGAATTGCAATTTAACCTCGGGAAAATCCATAAACTATAAAACAGTCTAGAAAATTATATTTCAGTCCCTGACAAGTCCAAAAACTACAAAATAGTCTAGAAAATTACAATTCAACCCTGAAAACTCTAGAAATTATAGTTCAATCAAGAAAATTACAATTTAGACCCTAAAAATACATATATTGCACTTTAGTCCAAAATTATAGTTTGGTCCCCCGAAAATTCAGAAATCATGGATCAATTCATCAAAAATGAAGTTGAAAAATTACATAATTGACCTCCACATCTCTAAACTAGAAAAATTACAAAATTGACCTTTACATTCTTGAACTAGAACTCAAACTAAGTTGACTTCCACGTCGTTAAAATTGGGCAAATTCTGAATTTGACCCCATCGTCCCTAAACTGAAAAATCTCAAATTAAACTTGATCTCTACGTTGTAACTAGGCTAAATTTTTAATTTGACTTTCACATCGGTAAATTGGGCCAAATTCCAAATTTGACCTTAACATCCCTAAACTGAAAAATCTCAAATCAAAATTGACCTCAGCGTTGTTAAATTGGGCCAAATTCAAAATCCAACCTCCATGTCGTTAAATTGGGCTAAATTAGAAGTTTGACCTCTACGTCATTAAACATGGCCAAATTCCAAATTTGAGCTCCACGTCTCTAAACTAAAAAAATCTCAAATCAAAATTGACCTCTGCGTTATTAAACTGGGCTAAATTACAAATTTGATCTCCACGTCGTTAAGCTCGGCCAAAATCTAAATTTGATCTCCATGCCATTAAACTCGGCCAAACCAAATTCGACCTCCACGTCCCTAAACTGGAAAACCTCATGTTAAAATTGACCACTACGTCGCTAAACTGGAGAAATCCAAAATTGACCTGTGTTGCTATACTGAAATCCAAATCAAACTTGACCTCTACGTCGCTAAAGTGAGCTATAAATCTAAATTCCATTACACACCTCAAAGGTGAACCCAATCCAAATTTAACCGACATATCTTTAGTATAAGGTTTTACATGAAAATTGTACACTGGGGGTATGCCCCTGGTTAAGCCATGTATATAATTATTTTTTTACACTGGGGGTATGCCCTTAGTTAAGCCATGTATATAATCATTTTTTCTAATAAAACTATTGTGCTTTTTTTTCCGTTTGAGTTTTCTTTTATTTTGATGATATTTATTGACTCCTAATTGAAAGTTCCATTCTCCGCAACTAGTTGAGATAAACATTTTTTACCCCACAAATTCAAATAATTTTATTAGAAAAAAATGATCATATACATAGCTTAACTATGGCATACCCCCAATGTACATTTTCATGTAAAATCTTATACTAAGATATGGTGGTTGAATTTGGATTTGAGTTCGTCTTACAGACATGAAATGGATTTTGGTTTTGACTCCAAGTTAGCGATGTGGAGGTCAAGTTTTGATTTGGGTTCCAATTTAGCAATATAAGGGTCAATTTTGGATTTTTTCAATTTCGCAACGTAGTGGTCAATTTTGATTTGAGGTTTTCCAGTTTACAGACATGGAGGTCGAATTTGGTTAGGCTTATTTTAATGACGTGGAGGTCAAATTTGGAATTTGGCCGAGGTTAACGATGCGGAGGTCAAATTTGTAATTGGACCAATTTAATGTGGAGGTCAATTTTGATTCGAGAATTTTTCAGTTTAGGGATGTAGAGGTTAAATTCAGAATTGGCCCTGTTCAATGACATGGAGGTCAAATTTGTAACTTGGCCAAGTTTAATGACGTGGAAGTTAAATTTGGCCCAGTTTAACGACGTAGAGGTCAATTTTGATTCGAGATTTTTAAGCTTAGGGACATAAATGTCAAATTTGAAATTTGGCCTAGTTTAACGACGTAAAGGTCAATTTTGATTTGAGATTTTTCAGTTTAGAGACATGGAGGTCAATTTTTTTGCTTTAACAACATGGAGGTCAATTTAGTTTGAGTTCCAATTTAGGGACGTGGAGGTCAATTTTGTAATTTTCCAATTTAGGGATGTGAATGTCAAATTTGAAAAATTTCCAATCTCTTCATTTTTGATGAATTGATCCGTGTTTTTTGAATTTTTAGGAGACCCAATTGCAATTTTGGACTGAACTGTAGTTTATGTATTTTCAGGATCTAAACTATAATTTTCTAGGCTGAACTGCAATTTTTGGGTTTTCCAATGGTTGAATTGTAATTTTCTGGACTGTTTTGCAGTTTCTGGATTTGCTAATGGCTGAAATATACTTTTCCGGACTATTTTGTAGTTTTTGGATTTTCTAGGGGTTAAATTGCAATTCTATATTAACTTGCAGAATTTGGGCTAAAATGTAATTTTTAGTATTTTTAGGGAGTAAACTGCAATTCTGCTTGTTTTGAGGATTTCTGTAACTTTTCCAAACTTGGGAGGGGTTCTCTGTAGTATTTCAAACTTGTGAAGGAGCTTTATGTAATGCACATCTTTTGTGCGAGTGCTGGTTGAATTGATTATCCTTTTTTAAACAAAGCTGGCTGAATTGATTATCCTTTTTTTAAACTGCGTTATTCTTTTTTTTTTGTGACAGCATGGTTTGCTCATTGTAGTCCAATTCCCTAGAGGATTCATAAATGGTACCTCTTATTCATGGCAAGATAGCCAAATCTTATTAGAGTTTGAATAGATGATTGAATCCATTAGAGTTTGAATAGATAATTGAATTACCTAATCCCATTAAAGTTCCTTCTTGGTAGAAATCCACACACACATCGAGACTAGGCTCGTCGACATTGAAACCAGTGTACATCAAATTTAGGGGTTGATAAAGGTTATAGAGAGGAATTAATCGAGAGCATAAACCGTGATTTTGAAGGCGCACACGAATCACATCCTTTCCTTTAATTTGTCAATTATTTAAATAATTCAAATTGGTCGATCATGCCGATTGAATCGTGATTCCTCATGACCTGAATAATTCCATATATATATAATATATATAATTAGTATATATATATATAATTATAGTGAGAAATATCGGGTATGCCCTTGGAGCAGAGCACAAAAAGTTGTGCTTGGTAGTGAGGTGGCACAATCCCGTCCACTCATTCAAAAACTGGTATATCCCCATGCACTCCTCAAGCCCATGTGAATGTGGTCCCGCATTTTCGAATGAGGGATTGATCTGTCCACCTCAACTACCAAAGCACAAAATTTAATGCTTGATACCAAGCATACCCATATTTTCTCTCTCTCTCTCATCTCTCGTCTTATATATATAGTATATAATATATATAATATATATATATATATATATATAATATGGTATTTTAGTACCGAAGCACCAAAATTTAATGCTTGGTAGTAAGGTGACACCACATTCCCTCCACTCATCAGAAATGGTGGACGGCACATTCCAAGCACATGAGTTGAGAAGGACATAGGGATATACAACCATTTGAATGATGGAGGAATGATTTAGTACCTCACTACCAAGCATAACTTTTTGTTTGGTAGCCAAGCATAACTTTTTTGTTTGTACCAGCATACTTTTTTGCCCTTATGTACGCAAGCATACTTTTTGTGCTTGGTACGAAAGCATCCCATTTTTCATATATATATATATATATCATATTATATATATAATATATATATAATATAAATATATATATTATCCTTTGAATTAGTCAAATTATTTAAATAATTCAAAAATTGGTCGATCAATGCCGATTGAATCGTGAATTCCTCATTACCTGAATAATTCCATATATATATATATATATATAATATATATATATATATATATATATTATCGTTTAATTTGTCAATTATTTAAATAGAATTCGAATTGGTCGATGCATGAGCCGATTGTAATGCGTGATTCTCATGACCTGAATAATTCCATATATAGTGTATTTATATTATTGTAAGCTATTAATTTTAAATCACTTTAAGCATGAGTAACTATAACCTAAATATGACTATTTTGTATTATCAATTCAAAATCTTAAATCAATATACATGATATGGAGTGGTATCGAGTAATTTGATAGGCATACATATGTAACTTTTGATAGCGCTACCTTAGATAAATCTTAAGGTGCCACCTTATGAACATTTCTTTGTTCCCACACCACATTATTATCTTTGTTGCAATGATTCTTTTTAATAATTTTTATTAATTGCCTCCGAGTTCCCGATTCAATCGTTTCATTCTCATTCGAGAATATTATATCTAATGCTAAATTTAGTTCTATTAATTCAACGCACATCTTTTGATATATAAAATCTTGTTCTTGTCTATAATAAATACATATTTTTAAAGTATCACAAAAAGTGAGAAAGAATATATGATGATTTTGGGTGATGGATGGTGCCTGCAGATGTTGAGGCATTGTGGTTGAAGTGCAGGATGGTGTCTCGATCTGAGCACTGATGCCTGAGGTTCGAGCACTGGTGTATTTCGGGTTGAGGATGGTGGCATTCCGAGGTGTTGAGCACCATGGTTTGGGTGAGGACGGTGCTTTGTGGGCACGGTGACTCAAAGGGATTGAGCAGGGTAGCTTCAAGGTGAGGACAGCGCCTCCGGTGAGTACGGTGGCTCAGGTGAGGAGCGGTGGCCTCAGGAGTTGAGTAGCGGTTGCTGGGTAGAGTTTACGTGCCTGAGATTTATTTATCTGCATGAACCATGAAAAAAATTGCTAGTGGAGCCTAAAATCTCCTCAGATTGATGGCAAGTCATATTGAACGCAATTTCGCCAGGGACAACTATATCACCTTCTTGGCTAGGTAAAAGACGAATATCCCGAATGGCATTTTTTGAGGTTGAACATGAGGGGGGGGGGGGGTTCAAGGTTTTTTCTTGTGGGGGGTTTATGTAGGATATTAAGGAGGTGGATGTTTGTTGTGATAAGGATAAATGAGCTGCATATTCTTTTCCTTGTATTTGAGTTCTATCGTTTCTCTATATCAACAGTCTCCTCACCGTATTTGTATGGACCATGATTTCTTGATTTATTTTTCTCTCGACTAGATCAATTTATCATGTGGATAATGATAAGTTCAAGCTCTTAGAGTTGTTAGATGAGGATGAAAAAAATCAAATTTCAAAGGGTTGTTGTCAAGTTGGACTCCTTTTGCTGCTAATATATTCCTTATACATGTTAAGATTAGCTTTGAATCCCCAACTGTCGTTCACCGGCTAAACTGATTTCAAACACAATTTAATCAAATTAAGCAAGTCCCCACTTAATATTAGCCATTCATTTCATTTATCTAGACTGCTAGAACCAAGTCGTCTATCTCCACTTGCATCCTTTATTTAAAAAAAAATTCAGAATTCGAATGACTGAGTGCAATCGTAGAGACGCTCGTCTGTGATATTCCTTTGTACTTTTTTTCTTTTAAAATCAGCTTCAACACTGGTTTTTTTCCTTTTTCCCTTTCTTTTTTTGATGATGATGAGTAAGGGTTGGATGCGATAAAAAGTTACAAAAAATGCATCTAGTGCCTGATACATTTTCTTTTTTGGGGGATAATGAGGGACGGTTGGATGGGAGAAAGTTGCAAAAATGATTTTTTTTTGTGGCTTTCTGCCATTTTCTCAAAAAGAATGAAGAATATTAGAAACAAATTTTTGCATCAAGAGATTCTTTGACGGCTATGTAATGGAGTTCTTAGAGAGATTCTGTGAAGCTTAGAGTCAGATGCTGGGACTCTAGTGAGATCACATGAAGCTCAAACAGTCTTTATCTATTATTTTTCGAACTTATCCCTTTATCCCTTTATGGAAATTTTTTACTAAAACCATATTTTTACCTCCTTATGCTTCTTATTTTCCATACAGTGGGATAACTTCACTGCTGATTTTCTAATTTGTCCTATTTTGTTAAGCCAAAACAGTTCTAAATCATCTTACGAGGTTGAGTAGAAGCTTCATGGTTTTTATGCTTGTTGAATTACAGTATTAGGATTATGGCTATGTTTGTTGAAGCTTGCTTGTCCTGGACTTCTGCAAAACAATATCTTCCCCTATTTTCTAGGGGGAATATGCAACATAGAAGCAACCACCAAAGAAACTGTAAAAAAAAGGAGATGTAGCTTTTCATAGCATTGGCAATGATACAACAGTAGGGAGACGTGCATAGCAGGACACATGACAGCTTTGTTTCTTTCTTTCTTCTATATTTGCACGTCTGTATTTTGCTTACTGTTTCTTTTTCCTAAAGTAAAAAGTGCCAGTATGTTACAAACTGTCTAAATGTGGAGGTGTATGCATGGGTTGGAGATGCCAGAGAGTTGAATCTATAATCATTCAGATCATTATTGAATGCACCTCTCTTTCACTCCCTCTTTTCCTTCTGAATATTGCTTTTATTAGTACCTTCCATCTTATTCTACAGGTCTGGTAATGTAAGCAGATATGCATCAGAACCTCAACAAAAGAATTTATTTTTACAAACCTTATATGAAGAACAAACTGGCCCTTCTGCTGTATCAAATGATGCTGATGTTGTCAGTCCCACTCTTCAAAGAGAAGTCCACGATAAGGATCGGGTTGAGTGTCTTGAAAAAGGCGTTCAATATTGGACGGACTTCTCTAAGGTTCAGTATCACCCTCGAAGCCTATATGAATTGCATAGTTCATGGACAGATGTTAAGCAATTTGATAATTATGGGACTGGAAAAGATGTTCTCTCAGAAGGTCTGCAGGGTGAAGAAATGAATGAAAGGATGAGGCTCTTTGTTGAGGAATGTGATCACGTACAGGTTTGCTTTCTTGCACAGATTTATGATTTTAGAGTTCTAAAACCTGAAACCCTCGTCTTAGGCATACATGTAAGCTTGGGTCTTTTTTGTTCTCTTGATATATTATATTTTTCTAAAACCTAAAAAAGATTTTCCCCTTGTTAGATTTATGTAGTTTACTGTGCAGTTGTTATTCATTTATTTGTTCTTTAAGCTTTTTTCCAAGTTGGTTCCTTTTGCCAGATTATATTATTGACATCATGATGTAAGTTAACTCTAAAATAGTATTGCCAGGGTCTTATATAGTTATTCATATCCATAATGGTCTTGTAGAGATTATTGTAGTCATTTACCAATTGATAAAGGTCAATAGATTCTATTCTTCGCATGTATGGCCTAGAGTTTTAATTACATGCTGCTTCTACAGGGTATCCAATTTATTCTTGATGATTCAGGAGGTTTTTCTGGCGTAGCTGCAGAATATCTGGAGAATATTGCAGACGAGTATACAAATACACCTGTGTTGCTTTACACCGTAAGGGATCCACATGCTTATATTCATGCAAAAAGCCAGAAGGACTCCATCACAAGGTCTCTTCATGATGCTGTTTCATTTTCAACGCTTTCTTCATATTGTAAATTGATGGTACCAATAGGATTGCCCTCTCTGAGTAGAAGTAAGCTTTTCTTATTCCCTAGCAATTCTTCTTATTCCTATTTTCAGTTGAAAACTTGAAATCTTGCGGAGAAAATGTATTACCTTTAATGTAGTATAGGAAGTGGTTACATGCAGGCAAGGTGCACAAGTAATATGGCCATTCTCAGCTCTGGTGACTGAGATGCAAGAGATCGACACTTTCATTTGACAGGGTTGGAGGGAGGG